TACAAGTACTTGTTGTACGTGTAAACCTCTTAAAGAGTGAATGAGTGAGTATGCGTGTATGGAATAACACTCATTATTTTTGTTTTTTTTATATTTATTTGTATAAACATGTCATTGCGACAAAGCAAAGTGATTATTTTATTGTTAGTGCTGATATCTTAAAATAAAAAAAATTGCCATTGTTTTTTTTGTATTAGAATTTTATATTCTTTACTAATTTTTGAAAGTGTTAAAATAAAAAACAAATTTTGTAAATATTATGCCGCTAAGTTCAAAAAAACAAACAGGCGAATACAGTGTTTGACAAACTGTGAAAGTGACAGATATTAGAGATGTGAGATCATGTTTATTTTGTAAAGAAACTTGCTAAAGAGAGAAAAGATGAGTTTTGCAGGGGTTTCACAATTAAGAGCGAGATGTTGAAGAGCTCGATACAATTCCACTCACGGTATGAGTGCCACTACTTATGTTAAAGTGGTCTTATTACTAGTGGCCTTTTCCCATTGATTTTCTTATCCTTAACGTAATGTGTTTCTTTTTAAGCCCTATATAACTTACGAAAAGGTTAACTATCGAAGGGACTGTCATACTTCTCCAACTTTTTGACATTTATGATCAGTAAACTCTGGAAAATCATTATGAAAAGTTAGAAGATACTTGAACAAGGCTACCAAATTATCTTAATTTACTTAGCAGGTCCTGACTGGTTTATTCATAAACATTGGCCCGTGAAAGATGTGTTTCCACGCCTTAAGGCGTCCGCATTAGATTTATTGAAGTCAAAATTTGGGGATAATTTGAATTCGTGAAGTGGAACTGTTAATTTATATCCAAGGTCCAGCAGTTTGTCCTCTCTCTATATATTTCCTGTGAAGTAACTAGTTTATCAGCAACAATGCTCGAAAAAGTGACCCAAAATTGGACGCCCAGAATGAGAAAGTTGTCAAATATCTAGTAGGACTTTCAACTATTAGAAGAGAGCAGGTGAAATCGCTGCTCGCTAAACCCCAACTATATGATGAATACAACAAGACTCGAATTTTAACGGTTTATTTACCCTTTGTCCCCGGAAGGTTTACATTCCCTAGTCTTAACCCATAAGACATTTTTAATCTACTTGGATGCAACCCTATCATAGTCCTTAGCCAGGCGAACTGTTGATTTCGACTTCGCCGTAAATAACACAACTATGTACTATAACCGAAGCTTGAAAGATGCAGACGTATTCGGAAGATAAATGGCAGATCTGTGGTATATTAAATTTCAAAGATAGCAAAATTTCAATGAATCCAACTCACCTGGTTGTTGAAGATTTTGAGCCCGCGCCCGCGTTCCTGTATTTGTTGCAGTATTTATTTCAAAAATAGATTATAAAAATATACATACATACACATTTGCAATAACATTTAAAAACAATTGATACGTATAATCAAAGTATTGTTTGTGTGCAAATGTTTACGTCATTTGCGAAACAGAAAAAAATCTTAAATTTTTATCGTATTCCTAATACAAGTAGTAAAGTCATTAAATTTGAAATGTTGAATTATTTGAATAATAATAAACAGGTTAAAAATACTAAACTGGAATGTTAAAATTTCCTTGTCGATTTTGGAGGTTAGTGCGTGCCATCACAGAATGGACATATAAGAAAAGATTATAAAATTTTTGGATCGCTCAAATCAAGAGTAGAAATGAAATCTTTTTAAGAAATATCAAAAGCTTTTAAGTTGACCAGAGCTGTGATTTTCGGACAGAATAGGAGATGATATCACCACATTGAATCAACAATTATAGAAATGAAATTGTTTGAATCGATGATTATAAAAATTAGATTTTTTGAATGGATAGTCGTTTAAATGAGTTTTTTTCATCACATTGTACGATCTTCTTTGGGGAGAGTCTTTAAGCGGTGGTGAAATATATCACCACATTTTGATCAATGCTCCTCCAAAAGAGATTGTTTGAAACGGTGATCGCGAAAATTATATTGTTTGGGTCGATAATCGTCCCAGTTGATTTGCCAAATCAATAAACTTAATTTTTTTAATTCAATAAAATCAGATTCAGGGTGTATATTTAACGTAACGATTACTAAACGATTTGATTTTTCCTATTATACGAATGATTGTCTAATCCAAGAGAAAACATAAAACTGACCAATTGCTTTTACCTTATCTGTCTAAATAATTTCTGTATTTTTAAAAATGTCAAACCGTTTGCAAAACACTGAAATTATTATTGGAAATAATCATACTCAACCACTATCAATTATCAAATTGAAATGAAACATTTAATAATTTGATATAGAATTTATTTATTGTTATAAAATAAAAATAATAATGAATTATAAATTCGATAACTGTGGACTCTAGACTGTAATTAACGCCGTTGCTGGGTCGTTTTACTAAGATTGCACGTTAAATGTACAGTGTATACGGTTGTATATACATAATTGAACACAAGGCGGTAGAAGTTTATTTAATCGTTTCAGCTGCAATAAAATTTTAATATGAATAATTTTTTTTTTATTTTAATACTTGTGTTTTATTTGTTTAAATAAAGAAAATCTATTAATTAATTAATCATTATCGTATGTAGTAGTTAGTTAGTAATTGTTGTTATAGGAGAGTGGACTGAAAAGTTGTTTTAAAGTTTAAGAAAATAGACTCGTATTTTTCTCGGTTGACGAACTTGAATCTGTTCCGAATTCTGTCTCAAAGGGTGCTTTACTGATTTCCCCCCGATTGTTCCCAGTTGTCAATGGAACAATGGATTTCTATTATAAATTTTAGTGCTACTTGATATAGATCCAGGTCTGCATCTAACTCCAGAGTAGCGGTACAGTCCTACCATAAGCAAAGACTCTCAAATCTTCAGGAATAACGTGAGAGTTGAGGTAATTGCCATATGTCTGAGTACAGGACGGTCACCACTGCTTTAATAGCCGGCTCTGCTACTGTGACCGACAAACTGACTAGACAAAATAACTTACATTCGGACAGTACCTTTTACTACCTACCTCTTCGACATGCAAGGAAGATGAAGATTTGCCCATGGAATCTGAAAAATACCAATCGATCTTCGAAGGCTTTTGACACTGTTAAGGAAGGTTTCGAACGAAAAGTTGAACGAAAAAGTAGACAGAACTAGGTCGCTGAGTGTGCGAGATCCGTAGTTCTTGATTGCCAGGAAGTATGAGAAAATACTGCATAATACTACTGTGGATGTTAGGTCAATATGATCAAAACCAGAGCAGACATGTAAACAGGACTAAACCGAAACCCTATGTCAGCACGAGATTGTTTACAAACACCAATCCACAGACTCTTGATATAGACACATCATCATTTAAAATGGCCACATTAAGATCAAATATGCATCACAACGGAGTAGCAACATAGAGAAGGAAGAGTTATCCAACGGGCCTGTATAAAAAAGGCGCGAATATAAAAGTATTGAATTTTCTTGATTTCACTATGGAAATGAACAGGAAACCCAGGAACATTTTCCCTTGATATTATGATGATTCAGATTCTCTGCTTTGTTTAATCAATTCTGAAAGAGTTAAATACTTTTATAATATACATATGTAACGACCAAACGATTTATTAGATCCTTTGTCAATATCGGGCTTTAGGAAATTCGAGTCATTTGTTATTTGAATATTCATTTTTAACAGCAATTCTGAAATATTGAATTTCGTCTTAGTCATACAGTGTGTGGACACATTTATATGTCATTGTGAATCTTTTTAGCTTGAAAAAGGTCCTTTCATGGGGTCTATATCTCACTCTTAATTCGCCATATCAAAAAAGGTAAATGTGAAGGATCGGCAATATCTAACCCTGCAGATATACAAATGCTGGATATTCGCACTATGAGTTCGTACGATTTCTCATCGGACATAGACATCAAATTGTTTATGTGTCGTAAGTCTAGATGTGATACATTTCAAAACCTCTATAAGTGTGATCCGGGAGTCTTGTAAAAGAAACATACGCTTATATATATTCAAAGGAGCATATTGGGTATTGAACTATCTTTCTGAAGCTTCAATCTTTTAGAACATTTCAGCGATTATTAAAATAAAGATTTCGGATTTCGATGCCAAGATGGCCCATTACACTGGCCAGCAGCAGATTTACAAAATGAACATTGTTAATTGTGTTTTATCTCAATTCTTCCCTCATAAGTACTTCTACTATTTCGATCAATATACATAGATTCATATTGATGATTCAGAAAGATCCCTTTCTAACCAACTGATTACCGATGACGATTTTGTGTCAAAGTTAAACGACATTTATGTAAAATAGGCTACTTCCGAAATCGTCATGATCTCGTCAATTTTTTTGTTCTCAAAATGTTCTTCATATTCAAATCAGTACTTTTCCCGAGATCAAATCCCAATGATTTCAAAAATAAGTCAATTGTGATCGTTGTTGAATAATAAACAGCAGATTTGATAAAAGCCACCAAAGTCCGCCGTTTTTTAAATTTTCGAAAAATTATAAAGAAAATCTGATTTAATAAAATAGTTTGTTTCTCATTTGTTTCGAATAAAATTTTAAGTCTGCAATCGTACTTAATGCTGCAACAACAGCAAATATTGGGTAAATAAATAAAGTATTGTTAAATTTTTTGCTATTGTTGTTGTTGTTGTTGCAATAACTGATATGGATTGAAAAGTAACAACAAACACAATGAAAACTGCTAAAAAATATAAAACTTCTACATATACAAATCATATACCCACACACACACACACTAACACATTATGTCAAATGTTTTTTTGTATGATTTTTACACGTTACGATCATGTCCAATCGTACAAAATATCAAATAAAAATAACAACAACAACAATAAAACGGCAGCAATAAACGACAACAACACAGTATCGGTTGGTAGTAGTAGATGAATTTTTTTAGAGTATAGAGTACACCACTTCCATGTTATTTTACTTCGACAAGAAATAGCAAAGTGTTTACTACTCTCGATCGGTAAGGTTGGATTATTATTATTTTTTTGGTGTGTTTTCGTTTTGAGTTCAGTTCAGTTGACTTGAGTCGTGTTTCATTCATATAGTTTATTCCTTCCTTAACTTTTTACCTTTAAACATTATTTATAATTTGCAACGCGTGCCGTGCAAAACGATCTGCGGAAATTCGATCGTTATAGTTTTTATTTTGATGAAATATTAATTTAAAGACCAAAAACTTTGTATTTACAATAAAATATATACCTACAGTGAGTTTTATACAATTTTCTTTGAACCTAAACAAAATTTGTTTTAAAATATTAAACAGCTTTGTGGTTAACGTTACAATTGTGTTTTTTAAACAAAACAAGAGAAAGAAAGACTTTCTTTGACTTTTCACATACAGTTGATATGTCTGTTGACATTTGTGCGACTGTAAAAAAGTGCGTGTTTATTTTGAGTGATGGCATGAGGTAGTATGTGTTTTGTTGTGATTCTGCAAAGATTGTTTGTGTTTTTCTTGTTACCTGTATTCTTTAAGGTTGTTGTTATGACGAGTGAAATGTGTGTACAAAGAAATTTGGTCAAAATCAGTTTTAAACCGGTTTTGAGTTAATTTAATCCACAAAAAAAACTAAAAACAAATAAAAATTATTACTCAAGAGCAAAATATCCAGTTTTGTAGGTTCAGTGTATTGAAAATTCTTCGCAACAACAATAAATTAATAAAAAAAAACAATAACAGCATCTGTGGTCAAGCTAAAAATAAAAGTAAATATAACAACAGCAACAAATATGAAAAAACCTGTCAACTAAAACTAAATCAGCTGTTTTATTAAAATTAAAAATAAATAAATAAACAATTCAACTTTTTAAAAGTATTAAAAACTGTTTAAAAGTACATAAGAAAGAACTGTTATTATTTATTTTCTTTTGTAAATTGTAAACAAAGAATGTGCATTTTGTATATTTTTTATACTTAAATCAACGAAAACGTAATAACAAAAGAAATTTATTGTCAAATTGCAAAGTAAACGTAAAAATAATCAATAAATATATTAAATACATTATAATATATAAAACAAATTAAATTGATAATATTTCTCAGTTTTGATTTCTACTTTTACAAAAATTATGAACAACCTATATTTACAAAAGTGTTTCAGTTCATAGCATAATTTTACATTTACATTTAATTGCAATTTTAAACGTACACTGTTTCCTTAAATAATATTGTAGTAAAAGTGCAAACTAACCAACTAACTTAATAAACTATAAAATATTATTAGAAATTATAGAAACAACAAAAAAGAATTCATCATTCATCATGTTCAGTAACATAATTTTCTTATTCTGAATTGAAATGGTTTGGGAAAATAGTCCTGTTCGATTCATACTATTTATTACAAAATTCATTACAGTTATGTATAGTTTTTCTGTGTAGGAGAACCAAAAAAAAATATATATTTTTTAACCTTTCTGTACTCGCTCGTTGGTCTGTGAGACCGATTTTTAAAAAATGTGATTTTTTATTATAATTTTTCATAGAAACAGTATAAAGTTTTGGTCCTCATTTACGAACATGTACTATATACATATGTATTTCAACTCAAGATGGCTGATATCTTGAAAACGATTCGGTCGATTTCAATGAATTGATGGATTACACAGTATTACAATTTAAAAACAAGTAAGAAATTATAGTCGGGCGAGGCCGACCATATAATACCCTACACCTTTGACAAAATTATAATGTGATTTATTTGCCATAACAAAGCATTTAAATTGAATTGTACCTTGCCTCAGATATACATACTTAAGCCGTTTATTGTTGAATAAAATTGTGGACATTTAAGTGAAATTTTCATGGGGGCTTTTCATAGGGGCTAGGGTCATATGAGGACCTATTATTATGGAATTCGTGAGGGTCATCAAATCTTGTATAGAACTTGGTTTTTTCAGCTTTTTGTCGAGATATGAGTATATTAAACATAATTATGAACTTAAAAGCCCTATTCGGCGGGTTCAGTTGTATGGGGGCTAGGTGAAATAATGGACCGATGTTAACCATTTTCAATAGACTTTGTCTACGGTACCATAAAAGATCATGTGACAAATTTCATTGAATTATCTCCAAAATTGCGACCTGTAGTTTGATTACAAAGTTTAAAAGCCCTATTCGGGGGTTCAGTTGTATGAGGGCTAGGTGAAATAATGGACCGATGTTAACCATTTTCAATACGCTTCGTCTACGGTACCATAAAAGATCATGTGCCAAATTTCATTGAATTATCTCCAAAATTGCGACTTGTAGTTTGATTACAAGGTTTACAAGCCCTATTGGGGGGTTCAGTTGTATGGGGGCTAGGTGAAATAATGGACCGATGTTAACCATTTTCAATACGCTTCGTCTACGGTACCATAAAAGATCATGTGCCAAATTTCATTGAATTATCTCCAAAATTGCGACTTGTAGTTTGATTACAAGGTTTACAAGCCCTATTGGGGGGTTCAGTTGTATGGGGGCTAGGTGAAATAATGGAACGATCTTAACCATTTTCAATAGGCTTCGTCCCTGGAACAATAGAAGATCATGTACCAAATTTCATTGAATTATCTTCAAAATTGCGACCTGTAGTTTGATTACAAGGTTTACATGGACGGACGGACGGAGAGACGTACGACATAGCTAAATCGACTCAGAAAATGATTCTGAGCCGATTGGTATACTTTAAGGTGGGTATAGGACCAATATTATTGTGCGTTACAAACATCAGCACAAACCCAATATACCCTCCCCACTGAAGTGGTGTAGGGTATAAAAATCGAAATCCAGAGAACGAGTTTTACATATTTAAAGGATTGAGGAGTGATGAATCCGAATCTGGCCTCAGACTTTCTCTATCACATCAGGGTTTTGTCGTGTTGTAAAAACTGAAAAACCCCTCTTTTCGCCATATTTTACATATCTTAACTTAAAGCTTGAAACAACTTTTAATTCCAAAAAGTTTGTTAATGCTTTTACTTTGCGGCAAACACTTTATCGGGTAATATTTCCGGAAATACGGGAGATTTTTAAAAAAGGAAAAATTATGTCAAATTGACACCTATAAGTCTGTCATAAAATAAAGGCAAAATGGAGTTAAAAATGTAGTTTGTGTAATATTGTGGTTGTTCTAGGCCATAGGTTAAGATAAACCTTTATTTTTAAGTCGACAGACAGGACTTTCAGATATTATATTTTGTCGATTAATGAGTCTTCGGGCAGTTATAAAGACCCATAATATAACAAAAGTCGGGGAACTTTCAGCATTTATGGCACGAAACCTGACGTGAGGCCAGATTTGGAACTAAAGGTTTGTCAGAGGTTAAACTTTTATTTTTAAGTCGACAGGCAGGACTTTCATCGATTTTTGAGTCTATTTTTAGGACACGAAACCTGATAAGAGGCCATATTTGAAATAAGCAATAGTTTTCAAGAACTTAACTACTAATGCTATAACAAGATATTGGATCAGTCTCTGCCTTTCTTTGCCTCTTTATGTCATCTGATGGTCCAAACTGTCAACTTCAAAATAAAGACTTATAGTATACGCACAATTGGGACGAACGACGAATTTTTCGGAACGAATATTTGTTGTCAGAAATAGAACACACTTGGGTATATGATAATGTACACAATCATTACGTATGACGAAATTCGTCGTACATAACGAACTATGCGATAGGTTAATTTCTATTTCTTACGCAGACGAACGACGAATTAAGTGGGGAAAATTATTTTAAGACCAATTCCGGTAGCCCGAATTTGCTGAAATTTGGTGGTTGTGAGTACAGTTAATGACAATACAATAGTATGTTCGATTATTCGAAATTATATTCGAAAATTCGAAGTTATGTTCGGAAAATTTTTTATGCTCTTAAAATAATCTCTGAGTCATAAAAACTAAAAATAAAATTTTCGAAAATTCGAACTTAAGTTCGAAAGATTTTTAAAGCCATTAAAACCAGTTCTCGTGGCCCGAATTTGGCAGTCTGGAGTACACTTGATGGCACTACAATACTATGTTGGAATATATAAAATTAAGTTCGAAAATTCGAAGTAATGTTCGAAAAAACTTTGAAGCTGTTAAAATAATCTCAAAATTGGGGATATTCACAAAAATATAATTTTAGTACTTTTCGAGGCCAATTTCTTACATTTTCTAATTTCGAAATAAACGTCGAATAAATTTTAAAGCTGTTAAAATTATCTCAAAATCGTGGAGATTCACAAAAATATAATTTTTGTTCCTTTTTCTTACTTTTTCCAATTTCGAACAAACAAATTTTGAAACGAATTCGCAGTACGAATAATTTGATTGTGTTCCATTCGACGAATTTACGCAACGATTTTTTATCGATTAGTTCGTCGTGCTATACGAAATTCGTGTTTCGTCCCAATTGTGCGTATACCATTAAGCTGTGTTATAATTTCTTCCTTCAGTGCTGCTCAATTCTTTGGAAAAGTATCCGTTGGTCTCTGGGTTTCGACCAAGTTTTTAAAAATTTGTTGCTCTATGTAATCTAAACTTTTACAACTACTTTTAATTCCTAATTAATAAATATATTGCAATAATTAAAAATTTTATTTTTTCAACTGATAATAATATTAAATGGAATTCTACAATGTTTTATTAAATGACGAATTTATATAAATACTTAATTGCTATAAAAAAATTACCCAAGAAAATGAAATATTTTTTGTGCTGCTTATCATAAGCTATTTATTTGTTATAATTATATTTATGTCTAACGATAAATTTCTTTATAGTTTAGTTAGTTTGTGGTCAAGGTACAAAAATAATAGAAGGAAAAAATGTAAACATAAAGTCCAAAGATCTTTAAAATGAAATGTTGCGAAGTGGTATAATAAAGGAAAGTTTTTAACTGGAGGAAACTAACACTATTTACATTTATCATTAGATTTTTTTTACTTTTTTTTAAATGAACGATTTAAAGAACTATAGTTTAGATCTAGTAATAACTACCTAGTTTATTGTATGTATCTCTCCGATTAAAGTATTAAGTATTTTTTCAATCGTTTCAATGCCATGTTGTCTGCCTAGTTAGCATAATTATCAAAATTAAATTATTATCTAATAATGCAGCTGTTTTAATAAATTGGTCCATTAATTAATAGAAATTATAATGATGCAATTTGATAACAGTTTTCCTTCATTAATTGGGTTACCGGACTTTGAACATGAATCACGTTTTTCAATTATTT